AGCCTCATAAATTAACGAGGATGGATTTTTGAAAACAAAAATAACCTTACCATAGCCAATGAAAACAGAATTTGTAATTTCCATGTAGAGAATTGTAGTTGATAAGAGTTTATAATCTTAAAAGATCTGTGGTATCAATCACTAGTCCAGTTAGAGATAGGTGAAATTGTATGCTCATTAGGAAGAGATAGAAAAAGAAAACTTTTGCTCACTCACTGTGAATTCTTGTACTGTACTGTGCATAAAGAAATAAGTCCTTAGAAAGGCAAAAACAAAACCAAAAAAATTGGAAAAAGATTTCTATAAATGAAGACTTGAGGGGACCAGCAGGTGGCATGGTGGTTAAGATGCTGGACCCTCCCACATGGCCGACCATGGTTCGAGTCCTGGACCTGGTGGCTTGCTTTCTCTCATTCTCTTTCTCTCTCTGTGTCTCTCTCTGGTCAAATTAAAATAAATGAATGAATAACTAAAATTTAAAAAAAGTGAAGACTAGAGAAAAATCAGTGATTTGGTGATTAGCTTTACAAAATTCTTGATTTTAGTCTTCCTTAAATTTGTTCTAAAGAAAGACTCAGCTACTTGTAACATTTTGGACTTTTCCTATTTTATCTAGTTTTATACAATGAATAAGGGTTATGATAATAAATTTGTCAATATAATATGAAAACTGTTGAGATGACAGTATCAAGTAACTGGTGAATTTATATGCAAACCTACTTGTGTGTAAAAATAGTTGAATCTGAATTTTTAGCATGCAGAATTTCTCTTACAAACCTCTCATTTTTTGTTTTTGTTTTTAACCATATTTATGGTTTACTGGTATACATAATAGACAGTCATGCTTAACACTCTAAGTCAAGATAGAAAATGGGTAGGGGTGTCATTAGAGGCATTCAAAAAAATTTTTTTTTTGGAGAGGTTTTTGCTATATGGCGCGTGCGCTCACCAGACAGAGACAGAGAGCTAGAAAGTGAGAAATCACCCCCAGGGGGAAATCACCCCCCAGGGGGGATGGCCATGCCGCAATCTCTTCTCCTCCATTCTCCTCTCGGGATCTTGGGCACGCACACACACGCACCTGGCGTGAATTTAAGCCACCAGGTCCGGGACTCGAACCGTGGTCGACTACGTAGGAGTCCAGTGACATAGCCATTATGCTAACTGCTGGTCCCGGGGCATTCAAAAATTTAACAGTTTAAATAATCTTTAGCCCTTCTGAGGAACTAAAGATGGGAAATACGTAGTATATACTTCTGTGACAAGGTGCTTCCATCCATTAGAGTGATCATCATTCAGTTCATGCATTTAAAACATCACTGCTTTTGATCACTGAAAACTGTGTTCAAAGTGCATTCTTATTCAACAAACTGATGGAACTACAAATAGTACACTCCAAAGTATTTAGTCTATGTATGTCTTTGTCAATGAGGTGTGTTCCTTGGAAGCAACATATAGAAAGTTTATGTAGTTTTATCCATTGAGCCAATTTGTGCCTTTTAGTTGGAGAATTTACCTCATTCACATTCAATTTTATTGTCAGTATGTGTGGACTTATCCCTGTCGTTTTTGTTACTCTTTTATTCCTTTTGGTTTTGTGTTCTCTTCTCTTCTGTTGTATTTATCTCCCTTTAGTTTTCTTCATGTAGTATTTCATTTATTTCCTGAGGAGCTGGTCCAGTTTTGGTGAATTCTTTCAGATTTTGTTTATCTGGGAATGATTTAATTTCCCTTTCCTATTTGAAGAATAATCTTGCTGGGTATAGTACTCTTGGCTGAGATAGTTTTCTTTCAGAGTTTTAAATATATCTTCCCATTCTCTCTCTGCCTGCTTTGTTGCAGTTGAGGAATCTGATGTTAGTTTAAAGGGGTAACCTTTGTAAGTAACTTGGCATTTTTAGACTATCATCTTGTCTTTGATTTTTACCAATTTGGCTTTGGTATGCTTTGGAGAGGATTATTTTATGTTAAGTCTATTTATTTTCTTTTGTATTTCCTGGAGTTGGATATCTGTATTATGCTAAATTTGTAAAGTTTTCAGCTAATATATCATAAAAGAGATTTTCTATGTCTTTGCCTAGGCTCTTCACCTTCTCGATGACCTATTATATAGATATCTGGCTGTTTAATGGTGTCCAGGATTGTGTTGTCTTCATTTTTAGTGGCCATTTTTCCATTCTTTTCTGTTGCTTGCACTGTTAGAGGTTTTGTCTTCAAGGTCAGAGATTCTTTCTTCTGTGTGTCTAATCTGCAGTTAATACCTTTGAGGGAAGTTTTGATTTCCTGCACTATGTTTTTTATCTCCAGAACTACCATTTTAAAACTTTCTCAGGATGTCTCTGCCTTTATGAAGTTCATTCTCCAAGTCATAGTAAGATTTTTCTCATCTTCTGGAATTGGTTGTCTGTTTTCTCTTGCATCTCATTGGAGTTTTGTTGCAATTAATATTCTGTTTTATTTTTCTGACATTTCTGTGATTTCTTGTTTTATCTATGGTTGGTGAGGAGTTATTGTGTTCCTTTGGAGGGGGGTATTTTTATTTATTTGCTTGTTTGTTTGTTTATATTTCTGAAGACCCTGCTATGATTTTTTTCTATTTTATAATTTTTTTATTAATTTATTTATTTTACATTCTTTCATTGAACATCATTACAGCATACAGAATGTGATTTCCCATCCAGAATACACTGTAAAGTGGCTTAATCATAATGTTATTGTCAACAAATAATTTCCCATTTCTTGATTCTTGTATGTGTATGTATTCTTGGAGTTGGATATCTGTGTTATGCTTCTTCGCATACATGCATACTTCCCCTATTTCTCACTCTCTGTTATTTTCCACCCTCCTCCCACACTGTCTCTAGTATCTGTAGTTGCTTTCCATTCCTTTTTTATTTTTCCCACATTTCATTGATTGACAAAATATCTTAATTAATCTAAATACTTTCAATAGCAAGTTCAGCTGCTATATACAGGTTTGTGAATACATGTTGACTTTAGGCTTGAAATTTTGTGGGTAGAATGAATATACTATAAAGTAGCACCTAGCTGAGGCTATATAGCTTACTGTTGTCATTAAATAGGTACTTTTAAAATATATTTTTTAATTTCAAGAAAGGTAGCTTTAGCTTTAATAAATCAAAGTAAAAAAAATGTTAAGAGAAATTTGCTTAAGACTTAAAGCCAGGAAACAGGTTAGGATTCTGTTTGAATAGTAGGTACATGGACCAGTTGACAACTCGAGAGAACAAAAATCCTTAGCTTTGGAAAACAGAGCATAGAAGATCAGTAATGTTTTAGTAAAAGTCATAAAATTCTATTTCACCAGTTCAGATTCATGTACTTAATCTATCTTCTCTCGTGGTCTGACCTTTCCATTTAAATTCTGGAAGATAACGTTCAACTCTGGACTTGTCCCTACCATTAAGCTGGCCCTTTTCTTAGTTGTTATAGAACTCTTATTTTTGTATGTCTGACTTCAGTTTTCCTGAGATAGAACTCCCTTCAGAACTTCTTGGAGAACTGATCTGGTGTTGGTAAATCATTTAGGTTTTGTTTATCTGAGAGTATTCTTGTCTTGTCTTTCCATATGAAGAATGATCTTGCCAGCTATAGTATTCTTGGTTGAAATTGTTTTTCCAACACTTTGAGTATATTTTCTCATTCTTTCTTTGCTCACATTGTTTTGGATGAGAGGTCTGTTGTTAGCCTGATGGGATAACCT